CCTCAGCTATCTGACCCACTTCATCTCCAGTGGATCTGGAGGGGGTCAGAATCTTGGATACCGAACAGGATTACTTCAAGAGAGGCATAAAAGAGGCCATATACATCAGGGCACTTCAACCATCGCTCAACCGGGACGGGGGCCGATATCGACTTCAGACAACCTTTGACCCTTTGCTGACGTCACACGTGGAAAAAATCACGTGTCCACAGCATTTGGGTCAGATAGCTGAGGAAGACTGAGTGATTCAGTCGAAAATTTCTGGTGAGTGAAATGTTGAGTTGGAGAACAGTTTACTTTAAGTTTTTCATAACAACGCTCATGAATGCCTTGCTTCGTCAATAATCTCAGGTACGACGAGGACGGTAACCTGATCCTGGTGGACCTCGGCAGGAGGGCGTTCTCCCTGACGGAGGAGGCGCAGCGCTTCCGCCTGGACGCCGAGGGGTACCTGGTGCCGCTGGGCGACGATCCGCAAGCTCACGGCGGTTCGTATATTATCTATTTTTTTTTGGTTTATATTCCAACATCTAATCACAAGACGTGGTGACGGCACACTCAAGTTTTTCAACTTATATTAATGCCGTCACCGACACAGGGGACAATACAATTCTCACTTATTTTCCTGAGCGAAGTGAGGAAAGCCGTGTTAAGTGCCTTGCCCAAGGGCACAAGTTCGGTGGCATGTCATGACTCGAACCCGGGATCTCTTGATTCAGAGTAGAGCACTCTGCCGCTACGCCACACGACCCCACATGGTCTATCATCATCGTCATTATCATTAATATCATTGTCATTATTACCTTACCTTAGACCTTGGTTACTCCTGTGTCTGATGGTACATCGGGCAGCAAGTTTCCACTTCCTTTTATTAGTCACTACCGACTCTGCTTCCTCCCAATTGTCATTACCACCATTACATTTTCAACAACTCGCTAGCCCCCATGCAACATTTTGCAGTGGGTCCCATCTATCTTTCATAGCAAACAAGCAAATAACAAAACAGAACATCCGTGAATTATTTAGTTGGTAAATATCGTTCCTAACATTTTTTTAGATCCCGACAGCAGTTAGTTCTGACTGTGAACCTACTTGTTTTGTACTGGGTGTCTACGAATGCAAAGTCACTGGATCTTGTTGTTTCTAAATATGTGTCTATTCATTTTGACGTCATGCTATTTCAAATGGTAGTTGATCACCTCTGACTGCCTGTTTATATTTCAGGAGAGGAAGACGACGTTGCTGTTTTGAAGAAGGACGTGAAGAAAAATAAGAAGGAGTCAAACCCTAAGAAGGAAGCAAAGAAGAAGCAGAAAGAAGAAAGGCAGAGGAAGAAGGAAGAACAAAGGCAGAGGAAGAAAGAGGCGAAGAAAAAGCAGCCAAAAAGCGGGAAGAAGAAAGGACCAAAGAAGGGAAAGAAAAATGGTCAGAAAAAAGGAAAGAAACAGAGTTAAATAAACGGACTTGAGTGAAGCCACTAAAAGTGTTTGCGGCAGAAAATCCCACCTCCTTGAATATTGTATTTTCTTAAACGGAAGATACTAGTAACACCATCACCTTTACGTAACTTTTTGCGTTTTAAATGCCTTCGACCCCATAGACCTATGGTCAAGGCTAAGGCCACTGTTACAGTTTTGCATTCAATTGAAAATGTAGTCGGATCCGTGTGTTTAGATATACATGTGTCTGTATTGAAAAAAAAACAAACTCTAAATGCGTCACTGATGTCTTCGCTTCGATTTCTTTTCGACTGTAATTAAACAAACGTTTTAAGTTTAAATTTCTGTTTAATATATTTTTACATGATATTAGGTCTACAGGAAGCATTGATTTTGACAATCTTGTTATAATCTTGTTTTTGTTTTTGGTTGTTTTAGGCTTTTGGTACTTATAATAAGTGCATTTGTAACTGCAAAAGAAACTATTAGTTTAAGTATTGCCTATTGTACTAGGTATAAAACCAGGACTAGAGATGCATTCTCCCGATAAAATGGATATGCTATACTTTTGCGTCAATAAGCTGATAACACGTTACAACTGTAGGTTTTTAGCTTGTAATAAAAATCCGCACAAAAGAGCTACTAACTATAGAGACAGAATTAGGGAACGGTGCTTTTAATATATAAATACGCGATGTAATAATTGTTGATTTTATGTAACATTAAATTGCCAATAGTAAATAAATGAATATTTGCTGATTGATCATTTTATTGCCCTGTGGCTAGTTTAATGTGCGATGTTACTTGATAGTTCTTATTTTAAACTTCTATAAAGTCTTGGAAAGCAAAAATGAATCACGTGTTTGTTTGCTTGTTTGTTTGTGCTAATGATACACTTGAATCGAATCTAAGGGTCCTATGATAGTATACGGTGACAGTTACTCTCCAAGCAGAGGTTTGGGTTTTGGGGGTATTTTTAGCGTGTTTTTAGCCTTTTTTATCGGGGTTTCTCTTTTGCACTGATTTTGGGTTTGGTGGAAAAAAATCAGTGCAAAAGAGAAACCCCGATAAAAAAAGGCTAAAAACACGCTAAAAATACCCCAAAACCCAAACCTCTGCTTGGAGAGTAGGTGACAGTAACGTTACCGCCACCCACCACCCTGAACAGCAGTTTCAGTTGTATATTCATCTATTTCACATATCTTGATACCTGTTTGGTTCATACCCGATGCTGCATGCAAGTAAACTCAAACTCAGGTTACATGGATAATTAAAGCCACGAAAACAAATCGACTTGACGGAACCCTTTAGATAGAAGCATAATAGAAGCTAAAACAAACTAGCGAACTGTAACGTTACGTAACAAAACAATCTAACGTTGTACGATATAACAGTACCAGTACTCGCGGAAAACATTTGAACCGAAGTTCGAACATCAAAGAATACGCACGCAGCATACTTGCTTTCCAACTCAGAACCTGCCCTTCCGAATCGTGAGTGAATCTGAGCAGAATTACTCCTTGGTGAACTGGAGTGGAAGTTTTGTCACCGACCTCTGTCGTCTGCTTGAAACCGTGTTGATCTGTGACCTTGAACGATCTGTATTTCCATCTAAAACGACCTTCGGGCCATCCCTTCTTTGAAACCCTGGTTGGAAAGCTGAGTTTTCAGGCACTCACCTATTTGCTAAACAATAGTAGGCTTGTGACCTTGATCATCTTCACGTTTCTGTCACAACTCGTCAAATAGTCAAACTTTCCCGCGCTAAGTCAACCTTCCTTGACCTCCCGGCATGGTTCTGGGTTCCACTTCCGGGTCAGTCCAAGGCCAGCGACGTGGCGCGTTTTAGCCAATCACAGCACAGAAAATAGCCCTCGTGACCCCAACAGCGAATCAGAAACTCCGGTACATTCCCGCGGTGCTGTTGTGGCTCAAATTGCCTAGGGATCTACTAGACACTTGCATTGGACAGATTTAGTCACGTGGTGCATTGCCGCGCCGTGATTGGTTGACTTGTTGATCTGATCTTTGACCTGCACTTCCGCCGGCGAGCCCACTCCAGTTGGAAACTTCTGATCGTGACCAGGTAAGAGACTTTTCTCCTTGTTTCGCTCTTTGCTTTATCGACTTTTTCCCGACAGGATCGCGCTCTAGTGTAGCCCAACGCCGGCGTTTCCCGCCCGTGCAGTTATTTCGTGCGATTTCGGCGCGAATTCCCGCCCAAACCCGGGGAATCCCTGGTAGTACCGTGTAGCGGCCGCCACGTTGCATGTTTTGCGGGTTTGACAGCTGAGCAGACCCTTATCATAGACTAATTAGCGAGCTCGTTAAGGTACCGTTATACGCCAGGCGAGGCCATCGCACAAAACTTAACATGTTACCATAGCAAGAAGGCTTTACAGACACATTTTGCTCGAATTTCAGCTGAATTCCGTGTAAGAAATTCCATGTTTGTTGCCCTTGTTGTGAGTAGCCACGTATACTTATATACTTCCGTCTTGGCTATGTACGACCGGTATTTCCTCGTGATGCAAAATTAGAAATAAAACAGGAAAACTACTCTCTCAATTTCACGTTAATCTTATGTTGATTGAAGTTGAGAAAAGTCGAGGTTTATATTATGCAAGAAAGTGTGTTGATTGAAGTTGAGAAAACTGGAGGTTTATAAATGCAAGAGTGTAGAAGCATCTGGAAATCGGAAGTGTGCGTCTAGCTAGCGGAGTGCTTATACGTGTACCAAATCATAAAAATAAAACAGGAAAATATATTCTTTCAAGCTCACGTTAACTTATGCTGATTGAAGTTGAGAAAAGTCGAGGTTTTTATAAGGGCCTTATAAATTTTAGAGTGTAGAAATGTCTGGAAGAAGGAAGTGAGCGTCTAGCTAGCTGAGTGCTTACGTGTACCAACACAGGAGTGCTTGCGTGTACAAACCAACTTCTGACGGGAGGGTCATCTAACCAGGGCTGTTTACTATGCAAAAGCTTTTCAAAGTGCTGAAATGCGAATTGGAATCTTGTTTTTCTCGGCTTTGAGCTAGGATTTTTTTGTTGGGTGTCTAATTTTTTTTATTGTATGCTATGCACAGGCAAGCAGTGCAGGCACAAGCTCTCAAACACTACTTCCTGCATAATTTTTTGAGGTGCAAATTTTGAGTAAAACAGACTGCAGCCAAGTTTTTTTCCCTTTGTTACAACATGATTTTTTGTATTTATAGTAAGACTGAAGGGAGGAATGTGTAAATGGCAGGGGTTGGGAGTGGAAAAAATAGGGTGTCTTTAGGGTGTCCTACCAACAAGTAGGGAGTCCAAGTTTAGTAATTTTCAGTACAGGGCGTCCAAAAGACACCCTGAACACCCCCCTAGCTAAAACCTGTCTACAGGCTGTTTACTATACAAAAGCTTTTCAGAGTGCTGAATGTGAATTGGCATGTTGTTTCTCTCAGCTTTACTGCTGTTTATTTATGCACCGCGTCTAAAGGCTGCTCGCCGCTAAGTAAATTAGTCTACAAGCAAGCTATGCCTGACGAGCCTATATTTATTTAGGGGGGGGGAGCGCATTGTTGTCCAAAATTTAATTACTCAACTTCTCAAGGACATTCTACAATAGAACATCTTTGGTTTACAGTATACAATACTTGACGGTTGATAATGAATGAATGAATGAATGAAGACCTTTTTTTTAAATTGTATTGTACTCAGATACCCGCTGGGTTAAGTACAGGTCACAACAAAAGAATAGAATACAGATAACGTTACATATATGATGTTACATTGTCAAGTATTGAAGTAACTACAACTACGTAAATTTGGTTTCTTCTTGAAAATGAAAACAGGGAGGCCCACATGCCCTTTTTTGTAGATGGTAGAGCGTAATCGGCCGTTTTAATTCTACGTAGAGCGTAGACGGACCACTCTAATTCAACGTAGAGCGTAATTGGCGCATTTTGCATAGATAGAGCTTATTCATCGTTTTAATTCTGCGTAATGCGTTGTAGCCACTGTAGGAATTTATCGTAAAGCGTAATCAAGAGCTCTCAAAATTTAGCATAGAGCGCTGTCAGGACCCCCCCATGCATGCCCCCACTCATCAGGACTCGTTTGTTTGCTTGATGGTTGACAGTGAGCACGCCCACATGCCTGCATGTCCAGACTATCCTCCCTGCAGACGAAAACTGAGAAGATAAGTTTATTTACTCACCAAGTAACAAGATGTAAACACTTGTAAATAAATCTGTGTCGGTAAACAAACAGATTAAAAAAAATGCTAGTAACATGCAAATTCCAACAGAATGAAAAGTAAAGTTTTTTTTACCTTTCAAAAACAGTCACTGATTGAAGAATATTCTCCTAACTGAAAGAAGTAGGAATACACTAATCTCCAAGCAGATCATACGGTGGCTACAGTAAATACCTTCGGTGGCTAATGGACACTCCTCTGGCCGATGGATACTGCCTTGCCACCGTAGGATCTGCTTGGAGATTAGGAATACACACCCATTTCGCAGCCTCTGATTGGTCAGGAACCAGCCAATCCCACGACATCACACCTCATCATAACATTTAACTATTTAAAGCAGTGAAGCAGGTTAATGTTTTTGTCAAGGTCAAACTGACTGGTATCCAACCTGAGTTTCCTAGGTCTCCAACCCGAGTTTCATTCAGCTACCACAGATCCAGTAAGTGAAACATGTCCCACTATTTCTATGTGCGATTTTTACATTCAATGTTTGCATCCTACAGGAAATTCTCTCCGGTTTCACCTCAACCTCCGACCTCCGACCCCACCATGCAGAACCTGCTCCTCCTATTGGTGGTCCTGACCACGCTGACCTTCGCCATCCCGAAGCCCACGGACGGTAAGAAGGACCGCGTGGTGGACAAGCCGCTGAGCGAGCAGGATCACTATGGCGACGAACACAACTCCGACTACGATCATGACGCCTTCCTCGGGGAGGACGCGCACACATTCGACCAGCTGGACCCGGAGGAGAGCAAGAAGAGACTCGGGTAGGTACATGAATGAATGAATACACTGTAGGACTAGTAGTGTGGTGATTGCCAGGTTCACAGACTGGGGTAGGCTAGTATGTTCTTAAGTAAGCACACAGATGAGTAGTGTATTTGTTACTGTGGGTTCACGTTTAGAGGAAGTAACACTTAGTCTAGTAACAGAGCTGTGACCGTTTGTTACATGTACATCCTCATTAAACGATGATGAGTCATCTGACTTGTGTTGCTCGTGGCTCTAAATGCCCGAGGCCCTCATTATGCCTGCATGCTGTTTTAGGGTCACAAAAAATAAAGGAGAATACAGTTTTCTCATTAAAAAAGAGATGTGTAGAAAAACATTTTTTAAAGAAGCCACTCCCACACCTCAGCTTGCAGACTAGACAGGAGGAAGTGTTGTGCAGGAAGTGACCTTCAGGTGGGACAAACGGGGAGACAATGGAGGAAATCACCTCGGGGAGAATACTAGGCACACCCAACAGTGGAGTCACTGACAGTGACTCAACCTACACCTTTATAATTATATGTTGTCATTTGCAGGCCACTAAATACTTTTTATGTGATCTGCAATATTGCAAATTATCAGAAAATGATTTTCTTGCAATTTTCACAACTTTATCCTCCGTTTTCAGTCTGAATATTCCAACCTTGTTTTTAAAAAAGCAGGACAGTTAACGCACAAGTACACTTCAGACATACAAGATGCACCCGGACACTTTTAGACATACTAAACCTGAAGTTCGGGGGTGTTAGAGAAGGTTGGGCTCCGCCTTTCAATACCATGCCCTGGACACAGTACCTAATCAACCCACTGCCCCTACAGCCTCATAAAGGCTACAGGACTACAGTACCTTTACCTACCTTTAGGAGTCAGACAGCAAGACATGCCAATACACTTCAGTACACAATAAGACCCTTAAAGGCACACCAGAACACTTGAAGACACACCGTACACTTTAGAACGCACCAGAACACTTAAAGTGTTTTTTAAGACCCAGTTGTTGTTTCTTTCCTGCAGGGAAATGGTGGATAAGATCGACAAGGACAAGGACGGTTTCGTGACTCAGCAGGAGCTGAAAGAGTGGATCCAGTACACACAGAAGAAGTACATCCTGGAGGACGTGGAGAGACAGTGGGACAGCCACGACCTCAACAGGGACAAGCGCATCCACTGGGACGAGTACAAGAACACCACCTACGGATTCATGTCACGTAAGAATGATAGGATTCTCACCTGAAATTTTTCACAGCGTAGGGGTCAGGTAGCCTTGGTACCATCCTGGTGTCTGCAAACTAACCAGGACGTAAACTAACCAGGATGGTACCCAGACCAGGTGTCAGGTACAGAAGGAAAACTTTCGGCAGCACATGGTTGAGACATTATTTCCTGCTTACTGATTTTGTAAAGTTGTGCTTTCCCTCTGTTATAGCTTCATCCTAATATTTTTTTAAGATAAAATTATAAAGGTTCTCCCTCAAAAGAAACACCCCTAGTCTGGTTGAGAGACAGTGTAGGGGCTAAATCACAGCGTAGGGGTCTTAATCACTGTGTAGAACTATGCATTGCTTTCTTTGGTCTGTTCAAATATTGTCTGCTAGATCATTGGCTAAAAACCATCTACAGCTTCCTGACATGGCTCTGTTCTGATTAGTTGGTTCAAACCCTAACCTAGTTCTGATTGGTTGGTTCAAATCCTACCTGCGTCCTGATTAGTTCGAACCCTAACTGACTTGTGATTGGTTCCAGCAGAAGAGGAGCTGGAGGATGACAAGGATGATGGGTACAACATCAAGGACACGGTTCAAATTCTACCTGCGTCCTGATTAGTTGGTTCAAACCCTAACCGAGTTCTGATTGGTTAGTTCAAACCCTAACCGAGTTCTCATTGGTTCCAGCAGAAGAGGAGCTGGAGGATGACGAGGATGATGGCTACAACATAAAGGACATGGTGAAGCGTGACCTGCGTCCTGATTAGTTGGTTCAAACTCTGTGTTCTGATTGGTTAATTCAAACACTAAATGTGTTCTGATTGGTTACTTTAAACCCTAACCTTGTCCTGATCGGTTCCAGCAGAAGAGGAGCTGGAGGATGATGAGGATGACGGCTACAACATTAAGGACATGGTGAAGCGTGACCTTCGGCGCTGGGAGACGGCAGACAGCGACGGGGACAAACACCTGACCAAGGAGGAGTTCCAGTCCTTCCTCCACCCCGAGGACGTGGAACACATGAAGGACATCGTCGTACAGGTGGGTAGGGTTACCTGTCTTTCCTCTGTGTTGTACAGGTGGGTAGCCTTTGTGTTTAACAGGTGGGTACCTCTGTGTTGATGTCACACACACACTCACTGTCCGGTTTATCGTCTGTTGTTCCCTGTTTTCTGAGGGTTAGACGTGCTTGCACTGTGGTACTGAGGCTTGATGGCAGCTCGCCACTTGCCTCTGTCCTGTGGGTTGATGTTCTCTAAGTTCAGGTGGTGGAGGTCCTCCCTTATCCATTTCTTCTTTGGTCAACCACGGGGGTTTGGACCCTCAACATCCAGTGTGAGGATCTACTTTGGCCATTTGTTCCTGTCCATTCTCTGGAGGTATATCATAATATGATACATGATAATGATGATAATGATCCTCTTTGTTTTACAGGTGTGGATGTTTACCTGTCTTTCCTTTGTGTCTTCTGTGTTGTAAATGTCTAACATCTTCTGCTGCTTTTTGGGGGTTTCCTTTGTTTTTCATAATTTCATGATCGATATTATATACTACCTCCTGGAAAGATTCGGCAGTTTGGCAACTTGAGTCAGTACAAGGAATTTCCCATTGATGAGAGCAGTACGTTCTCAGATTGAGTCCAAATAGGCACTGATGGTGAATCTCTTGTGAATTGTTGCATTCTGTTGTCAACCTTGTATGTTTTTTTAATTAATCCTTATTAATTTTTGTTTGTGTTTTTTGCAGGAGACGCTGGAGGACATTGACAAGGACGGGGACGGGTCCATCTCTCTGGAGGAGTACATCGGTAGGCTTCCTTCAGTTTCCTGCTTTCTTCATTTTGTTTACCTTTGCAGAAGGAAAACATATTGTTTTTGCTCAGTTTCTTCTTCCTCTTCTTCTTCTCCAAACAAATGAGGGCTATGACTTGAACCAGACGTCTGTCACCATGGTAACTAGTGTTGGGTTACATCATGTTGCAATTTTATAGCAGGAGGGATTTATTCTCCTGTCACCATGTATATGAATGTGTTTGAGTAAGTGGGTTGTGATAGAATTTCCTTGGGGGCATGTTAGCCCTGGAGCTGAGGAGCTGGTCTCTGTAGGCCCTGGAAACAGTCTGGCATCTATGCTGCAGGGCTTGAAATTATAGGTGGTCCAGTGGCCATCGACCACTAAAATTTAGGCTGTGACAACTAGAAAAACACTTTGGGACATTTTTGGTCAGAGAAAATTTTGGCATCCAGGCTAGATTAATGACTAAGTCTTGTCTAACTTTTGGTTCCTTTTGGACTTCCCAAAAATCCGTGCTTGTAAGTTATAAACCTACCGTTACTAGTCTCCAGTGTCACTGATGAAAGGTAGTGGATGCTACCTGAAACGTCTGACCTTTTCCAGAATCATATCCAGTTGCTTGAGTAACTGTTTTTGACATAAATGAAAGCATCCTGTCCAATTGTCAGAGTCACATACATGTATACTGAAACTAGCTGATTGCAAGTTATTGCCATATTTGGATAATTCCATCACATGACTGTCACAGTGTGTCTGACCTCCTGTTCTGTCATTGGTGGATGATCAGGTGACATGTGGACGGGTGATGACAAGGAGGAGCCTGATTGGGTGAAGTCTGAGCGCGAGCAGTTCGGCACCTTCCGCGACAAGAACGGCGACGGTAAAATGGACAAGGACGAGGTCCGGGACTGGATCATTCCTCCCGACTACGACCACGCAGACGCCGAGTCCAAACATCTCCTGTTCGAGTCTGATGCAGACAAGGTGGGTAGAGGATCTTTCCTCCTAATAAACAGTTACCCAAGTAACTGGATTTGATTTTGCAAAAATCAAAAACTTTCCAAAATCATATCCAGTTGCTTGAGTAACTGTGTTTTGGCATATCTTATGTCTACCCTTCACTGACGGATCTTTCCTCCCATTTGTGTGCAGAAGTCAACTTGGTCCCATATGTACAGAACAATTGTGCACAATTATTGACAACAATGTTAAGAGATAGATATTTGTTAACTTGTCCACTGAAAAATTACTGTAAGCATTGTCCCTTTTTTTGTCCCTTTTTAATTTTTTTTTTAATTTATTTATTCGGCTTACAAAGAAGCCAGGGTGTCCCAACTAGTCAAAGACTATAACTAAGGGACACCCTGGGGGAAAGATGGAAATTATTAGACATACATAGGAATGTATATTACAGATTACATACTTGTGCCTTTTCTAGTGTCTTTTTTAAATGTCTTCTGTTAGTTAATGTATTGATTGTTTGTCTATGTGGATGGTTTCTCTAACTACCTTGATGTTAAAACTTGTGGCTAATAGTCAGTTAAAACATTTATATATAATGAGACTTTTTAACGCTATGAAAGATTTTGAAAGCTGTATTTTTATTATGAAGTAAAGACTAAGCTTTATCTCATCAATGGAATGAATAGGGTAAGCTCCAATTCATTCCAGTGTTGGAGATAAAGCATAGTCTTTACTTG